TAAACCCTAATTTTTTCCTGTTTGAAATTCGTATTCCGCTAAATGCGATTTACTGTGAAAATTTTGGAAGATTTCACCAAAGGAAATTCAAGAAAATCACAAATAAAGCCATGAAAACAGCAAAAAAAAAAAAAAAAACTGTTTGGGCCTTTATAATTCAAGACTAAAGCCCAAAATTTTCACAGAGATGATAGTAAAACACTATTTAATCATTGGTTATTACATATAAAAAGTTTGAGAGGACTAGGTGTAAAAATGAATGCAAAAACAGCATTTAAAACATAACACTTGCGCGCGGAACGCCATAAATGATTACCCTATGGAGCTACCTTAAACTGGATCACGTTGTTCGTACATCTCGCGTTAAGCCCAGTGGTGGGGGCGGAGGCGGATTGGAACTCTGTATAAAGTACACTCTCGAAGCGAGCGTTCGCGCGAAGAGCTTTTCCGCATTCTATAGCTAGTGGCCGCGCGTAAATTGGAGTGAGAGCAAAAACTCGATGAAGCTCTTTGCGAGGGAACGCTTGTAACGCAGGAAAATCCACGGAGTCCTGCTTCGGGCAAATTCATCCTTTGGTCTAGAATAAAATCCGTTTTGTAAGTTGGCATCTTCAGACGCCCAAGATAACTGAAGAAAAATAACCAAGAAATTGAAAGCCATCGTATAAAAGGAACCAAGTCATTTAATCACCAAGTTAGTTCAGCCCTTGAACTGTCTACCCCAAAAATATTCTTGTCAATGTTCTTAGATTATAGCGTATGACATTTTTGTTTTCGAATGAATTTGGTGTCTGGATCACGGTGTTGAAGCAACTTTGGAGCTAGTCTGATATCACGCATATAACGTCTTGCGGAAATGTTATTGGCTACTGCTTTTTTGTCGCTTTCTGGAGAGTTTTGCCATTTAGAGAAAGAAAGTGTCAAAAACATGTGATTGTATTGTATTTACATATTTTTTAACACACAAAATTATGTTCTTTTCAAAATCTTAGCCTCGGGTTTATTCTTAGAATGCTCTTAAAATTTTACTAATTTCAGACTCGATATTCTTATAAAAAAAAAAAGAAAGAGTGTATCTGCTCTCATGCGTCAAACTGAAAGCATATTGTGATACTATGTGTCGTTTTACACCACAGTAGAGTGAGGAGACGCACGATTAACCGCTTGAGAAGTTGGCGTGGAATCAGTTGTTTGGTTGAGTAACCCC